GCCTGTGATATTTCAGCAAGCACACAGAATTAGTAAGTTAGTGACACCAGAAGGGATGATGATTAAGATGTGAGAGAATTTTTCAAAATGTATTTTGAGGAATGCAACAAATTGTTCAGTCTTTAGACGAACACACTTCATGACAAGAATTACACAGCATAAGAACATGTAGTAGCAGCTTCCATAAACAAACACGATTAATTACTACATACACCAGAAGAAAGTGATTTCTATCCATTGAAATTCTTGTTCATTTCAAAGATTCTGTTTGTTTTGAATTTTAATGAGACATTACCATTTACGCTTCTCTGCCCCATCCCCCCATTCCCCCACAACACATTTCACCTGATTGAAGAAGACATTTATAATCGATTGAGGAAAGAATAACTGAATATTGGTGGTAAAGAAGATAAAATAACAAGACAACCTCCTCCACTCCAATAAAGACAGATGGAGCTACTTCTGATCTAGTTAAGACAAGTTGTGACAAAACAAAAGCCAAAAATGATAAAGGAAACAATTGGAATAAAAAATCTGGAAAGATACAAATCAACAGAAAACTTTCTACTACAATGATAATTAGCCTTCAAAATTAGAAGCTATAGAACTCCTCATCTTAGGTTCCCAACACTATCTAACGATAAAAGCATGCTCAACACAAATTATTGATAGAAAGCATTGATTGGGTCACAATCTACAACCTTGGGACAACTTCATATATGAAACAGAATTATTTTAAGCAGACTGATAGACCAAGTAAAAGAAAATTAATAGTAAAAAATTTGCAACCTCAAACCAGTTATTCAAAACCTTCGAAGCTGGGGCGAGTAAAAGGTCCATCAAGTCCCTGAAAAGTTCAGTGGAAACAATTAAACAAGGATGGACTATGACAGTTGAAGTCGAGTCTTCATACTATTTTAGAGTAGATGTTGCCCTAGTTTGTCCAACTGATAATAATAAGTTTGGTGAAATTATGCAAACAGGACCATCTAGAACATCTTACACTAGGTCTTTCTGTCCCAAGTGGAGTGCTCGACGGAGACAATTAGCCCAAAACGCTGAATTTTGCAATTTGTGCCTCATACGAGTATTGAGATGTGAAGAGCCTTGTAGAGTTTCTGGTGTAGACGAATCCAGAAGTGGGTCCATAAACTCGCAAAACTTGTCAAGTTGACTCTCATACCTATAATTAGGTGGCACTTGCTAACTCAAAAATTTAGAATATGATAGTAATAGACAAAAATGATGAGCAGAAAGAACTAATATATGAATTCTCATACAGACTTTAGGGTGCTAAGTGAGCTCAATCCTTAAATTCCGCTAAATTATCATCAAGTTCCAAACCTGGAAATTTTGGCAGGGATCTTTTTCTGGCCTTTAAGTTAGCATGTGAAGCACCCTTGGGTTCTCCTTCTTGAGTATGTCAATCTTGAAAGTGTCAAGAACAATGGACACATGAGATTTCAGTATTAAAGAAAGGTGAGCCTGATTCCAGTGATCTGGATGCGAGCTACATGCCATATCTATTTCCCAATCATAGTCATAATCTGAGTTTCACCAAAGTATTCTCACTAATTTATAGGAGTTAATCCACCATAAATGGCTCTACACCTATGTATCTCCTTCATCTTATAGTCTAGTTCACATCAACACTGTTGCATTTAAATCGCCTTAAAATAATTAAATGTTTTTTCGACAAAATGAATTGCTCAAGGTTCAACTCTCGCGTAGTAAACATGATTATTTAACAAGTTTCTCTTTGTCCTTTAAAAATAAAATTGCAGCAAACAAAGTTTCCAGAAAATGCATTGAAGTTGAAGTAACGACCAGTATAAAAATAAATACTGAACCTTGAATAAGCATCAGCATCAGATTTAGAAAACTTTGAAATCTGAGAATAGTTGAGCTCCTTGTCAGAACCAAGCAGAAGATAGCGTCCGTCAAGAAGAGGCGTGAATGATGAAGGACTCCTTTTCAGTAGCTTCAATCCATGTCTCTTCAACTCCAATTCTCTATTAATCATAACGCATTCCCAATAATTGAAGAAAAATAAATCAATACTAACAATAAAATGATTGCAATAATTAGATCTCACTTTATAACGCAGGGTCTAAGGAGGCTTTGTAGGTAACTACAACGAGAAAACTTGAAACCAGGAATGAGTTCTTCAGTGACAGCAGCACCGCCTATGATATGGCGCCTCTCGAGAACGGCAACGGAGAGACCGGAACGAGCGAGATATGCGGCAGCTGTAAGGCCGTTGTGACCACCGCCGATGATCAGAGCATCCCATTTCTTCTCTTTTGCACTGAAGCTGCTGCTGCTACTGCTAAATTTTCGGAATTGTCTCCACATTTTTAAACTTTTTTTTTTCGCCTAATCTCTGATTTTAACAATAGCAACTCTTTGAACAGGGAATAGGGAATCTATCCGAGCTTCAACACTGGTCACTCTGCTGCTTAGTTTATTGGAGCTTGCTTGGCCTTTTCCCTCCTTTATCTTGTATATAAAAATAAATATAATATATATATAAAAAAAAATAGTCGTACATTATTAATAGTACTCTTATTTGTCGTGTTCATTGGCCACTTATTCAGATACTTATCGAAAATAACCTCCTGTAGAACTTTTTTTCATATTTAAACATTTGAATTTGAAACCTTTTAGATTCATTCTATCAAAGCAAAATCAACTAATTGAGGGAAAGGAGCACCAATGAGAAGGAAAACCAGTTTTGTGAATATTAAAAAAGTGTTAACAAGAGAAAATGTATATTGCCTTCATCATAGGAGTATGTCTAAAATGGTCTTTTAATTATATCTTTGTTGAATGTAATTTGGTCTCTTAATTATACATTTGCTCGTTTTAGTCATTAACTATATATTTATCGATTTTAGTCCTTTAAGTATTTAAAAACTTATCAGTTTTAATTTTTGTCCATTTTTTATACAAATAACTTAGATTTATATTAACAGAATCTATGTCTCGAGAAATTAAATTTGCAGTTGTTTCTACTTTTACTTCAAATTACCTTTATGCAAAGAACTTTAACCTCAACGATTCAAAATAAAATTTACGAGGAAAGAAAATATATGTCATAATTTTATTCAATGAACAATAAAATGAAGCATATTAGCTACTAATGATTTAAATATGTTAAACTTTATTATAAAAAGAAAGAAAATTATTAACAATTGAATTCAAAATCTGCACTCCAATGACTTTATTGAAGGGAATGTGTTTAATTTTCAGAACTTGAAATTTATAAAATTGTAGATTTGCAACTTTTTTTTTCTTTTTTTCTAAAAAATAGATTGATTTTATTATTTTATTCATTTATTTTACGTAGAGATTTGAGTAAAAAGTTTAAATCTCTTATTTTTCTTTTGTATGAAAAATAAATTTAACAAATTTTGGGTTGATTATGAACCGTTAACCTTCAAAAAAGGGAACACAACATATTCAAGTCATTAGCAACAATTATATGCTTCATTTTATTCTCCGTTGAATAAAATTAGGAGTTATATCTTCTTTTCTCGTTGATTTTATTTTGAATAGTTGAAGTTATTGTTCTTTTCATAAGAGTAATTTAAAGAAAAAGTAGCGGGGATAAAGAAACAACTTAAAATGGGTTAAAGATTTAATTTCACGAAGAGTTTCGTTAATATAAATCTAAGCTATTTGTATTTTTTTTAAAAAGACAAAGACCAAACCTGATAAGTTTTTTTGAATACTTAAAAGACTAAAGCCGGTAAGTGTATATTAAGGGACCAAAGCTGATAAGTTTTTTTGAATACTTAAAGGACTAAAATCGGTAAATATATAGTTAAGGGACCAAAACTGATAAAATTTTAAATAGTTAAAGGACAAAATCCAACAAAAGTATAGTTAAGGAACCAATTTTGACCTACTCATATAGTTAAAAGGACTATTTATGGCATTTTATCATTTACACAGTTTAGGCATTTATGAATTAGGGATAAATTTTTATGATAAGTATTAAATTTAAATTTTGATAAATACTACTTATTTTTTTTCTGTTATGTATAGTGTGATAATGAAAATAATTTTGTCCATCAACAATTTAGACTTGAGATTAAATTTAGACCCTTTAAGTATGTGGAGACAATCAACGGTTTAGACTTGAGATTAAATTTAGACCCTTTAAGCATGTGGAGACCATCAACGAGTAAGCATGTGAAGACCATCAATGAGTCATTTATGTGTAAAAAAAAGTAATTCTACTTTCTTACTATATTGGTGCAATGATGAGACATTTGAATCAGAGGTAGACCCATATGAAGAGGAAACAATCATGTATAAGAAACTAGTAAAAATAATGAATATAATAAAGAGTGCATCCTTAGAGGGCATAGAATTGCACTTAGTCTGCTAGTAGAAGTGAGGGAATTCAGCCTTGTGACTTGAGGTCAATCCCGGCCAATGACCATCCTATTAATGACTAATCGAATATGACATCATTCGTTGAAGGCTTCGCTGCAATTACCTTCAATGCAACCATCAAACATCAAATAGAAAAATAAATAATCTATTTTCCTTTTAACTCGGGAAAAAAGTTTGATTATATAAAGATGTAAATATGACTAGTGGTGCATAAGTTTGCTGACTACTCATAACTATTAGTATTTCATTGTTTTTTTTCCTTCTATTTATGAAGTTGAATTACTGAGAAACTATTTTTGGGTAATGAAATAAGTAGTTGTTTGGTTGTTTTTTTTGTGTTTGACAAAACCACATATATCCAAATTGCTAGATAGTATTTAATTTGTGATTTTACATACGTATACCATACTTATAAATTATAGTTTGTAAATACACATAACGTTATAATAAAACAAAGTGCAAATTCTTGGTAAAAATTCAAAAATAATTAGGTTCCAAAACGGAACCTCTTTAATTATACTAAAATTGCAAACTTTTGATCAGGTAACTCAAGGAATGCCATTGAAGGAAAAAAAAAACAAAAGGGAACTGAAATACTAATAAAATTGATCAAAAGCTGCATATGCGTGTGTCATGTCCGATGATTCTCCTCTGCGGGCAGCCATTGGATGGTCGCAGAACTTTTCCCACCTTTTAAGCCTATGAACTTGCTTTCGAAAATTTTCAACCTTCTGTTACAAACCAACAACACCAATTTCAAACAAAAAACAAAATACTAGCTACTATTTTTGAAGCCAAGATATAATAAATGTACCTCGTCAATAGTATTTTTGAAGCAAACCTTGTGATCAGCCATTGGGGTACTCACAAAATCCTTCAAATTGGTCATAAAGCGACCATCAATGGACCTCTTCCATCCACAAGTAGTTACAAGTGGAGTTACAGCAGCATTAGCAGATTCGTTTTGGCCTTTACCTACTTCCAATTCCATTGCTTCGATTTCTTAAATACCAATTGCAAAATATAATAATAATGTAACTAAAAAAAGATAATAAGAATAACTAAAATTTGATCGTTAATGACTTATATTTATAGATAACTAAAATATTGTACAGGATATTAAATCGACTTGTTTAGCAAGAAAAGATGGCCAAATTATCTTGAGAAGGAAATCAGGCTATTTCGATTCGACATTAACGAAAAGAGAAGGAAAAAAAATACCGTTTTCTCCAAGTAATGTGATTTTATTTTTTATAAGTTTAAGTTCCAATATTAGAAGTACAAATTAGGTCTTTGAGTTTAATTTTTTAAAAATTGACGCATCTTTTAGATAAAGGGTTTGAATGCATCAATTTGATAAAATTGAGGACGGCAACTGCTAGTCTGGAAATCACACGGGTCAAAATCAAAGTTATGCTAAAATAAATAAATTAATATACAATGATCTTAGATGAGTTTGTTTAATTAAAGGTTAATAATGTTATTTTTTTTCATAAGTAAAAAACTCAATTCGCTATTAGAAAGGGTATCATAGGGGGAAAGGAAGCTAAGCCTAACTTTTCATGTTTTCTTTAGGAAATTATTAAGGCAAAACATATTACAAATCTAACTTACCATAATTGTAGTTTTACATCCTAAGTAATTCGGAAATTGAAAATCAAAATCGAAAAGTATTAAGAAAGATTGATGACTATATAAAGCAGAAAAAAAATCCTAATCCAACACAAAAACAATTAAAAAAAAATCAACCCTAGCCTTTTTCTCTATAAATACTAATTAATGGTGAAGGTCAACAACCTTTCATAATCAATATTAAAGCTTTTATAAATTTAATTAATTTCATCAAATAATGGAGCCATCCACTTATAGTGAAATTCGTGTGTCTCCTGAAATTGTTTATTCTATAGGAGATTGTCCAGTTGACGATTTTAACGTGGAGATTAATTTAATAGTCAAATATGCTTACAATTATGGTGAGAGCACTTTGGAAGAGTTCAATTGTGATAATACATGTTATTGTATGTACAAGTCATTATCGTGGGATAAAATTGATGAAGTGCTTTTGGGAACTAATTTTCCTTATCAATTAGAAAGGGTTAAGTGGATTAATCGTACTGAGAAAATATTAGCTAACAAGGATGATTTAATCAAACAAATTTTGGAATACACTCATCACAACATTGTTACACGTTCTCCACACGAATATTTGGATGAAATTATCGTAAACCTGATATTTGTCAAGCAAGTATCCGTAAATCTGCAAGAATTTGAACTTATGAAAACAAGAATTGTTGCAGCAGATAGAGAATATTTTGCGGAGTTACTTTGGAAATCAGTTCATGACAAGATCATGAGAGTGAAACAACGAGGATCATCGTCTTTATACGAAGAATTTAAATGGATAGAATATTTCATAGAAAATATTGTGAATGGCATATCTGTGCGGAGCATGTGTTATGATGAGAATTATGAAAGGGAATTAAAAGAGTCTTTTATTGAGCAAGCTAGGAAGGAGTTTAGGTCACTACCTGTCGTAAGATCAAAGATTCAATTTTTAAAGAAAGTAAATTTGCCAAACCATGATGATACACTGACTGGAGACATATGTTCCATATGCATGGAGACTTATTTACCTGATTCAGAAGCATACAACATGCCTTGCAACCACAATTTCCATTTTAACTGCATTGAGACATGGATCCTTAAAGATCCAAGTTGCCCTATGTGTCGTTATAAGTTGCCAGCGATAGAGACTTCAGAGCCGGAGCTAGAAGTTTGAGTTTATGAGTTCTAAATTCACAAAAAAAAATTCTAAGCATAAATACACGGTGTGGGCGGGACCTATTGGGGTCTTTTGAACTTTTGAACTTCCTTTTTGTCCCGTAAAAAAGTTCATGCGTAGCTTAGAAAAACTTGTATTTACAATGATTGATTGAAATTTAAGACATATTTCTTAGGGAAATTCAATACTCTTGTACATCACTTGCTTTATTACTTTAGTTAGCTCTTTAACTTAATATGTATACCAGGATAGGTTCTAAACACATTAACGAAATCATTAATCCAGTACTTCATGATAATTTTGATGAAATTTAATATAAAAGAATAATTTCCTAAAAGCTCTAATAGGTGACATTGTAGAGTGTAAACTAAGATTTTTGGCTTGGTAGATCATGACATATCAAACATGACATTAAAATATATGGGTTGAAAATAGGTTAGATCAAGAATGCAGTTCTTACAGAGAGTACAACTTCCAGAAAACGAATTGATAGATGAGTGTTTGATTTGCATGGGGAGTTACTTACCTGAACAAGAAGCATACATCATGCCTTGCCATCACAGTTTTCATTTTGGCTGCATTGAGACTTGGCTTCTTAAAAATCCAAATTGTCTGATGTGCCGTTACAAATTGCCACCAACAGACTCAAAATAGGAAGTGATCTCTTTCTTGTAAAAATGTATATTTTAAGCTAAGTTTTGTCAAAAATGTATCATTGTTTGTAGCAAAAATATTCTATTATTGAAGTTACTAATAGGGTCTTGGCAGTTGGCACCCAACAATTTCAAAAAACATATTGCCTCAAGATACTTATAATCCTAATGCATGACTGAAAATTATACCAGTTTGAAATTCAAGGATGGCTTCTGATCATATTAACAAATTATTATACTTTATAAAAACTTGGAGAAAAATAATATTCTACTTTCGTGCACCATAGATTTACTCATACGTATATTGCTATATGTTCCGAGCATTCTCTGACTACCTTAACACGCTTTTATTACGTTATAAAAACTTTGATGAAATTTAACAAATTTTTATTATAGAAGCAGAGAGCAATCTGTGCATATAAAGACCACAAATTCATCAACACCGTCCTTCACTTATTTGTAGCATTTGAAAGGATGAAAAAATTGATACAAAAACTGTCATTGAGATGTTTAGCAACTTCTGTGACCGAGGTAAAGACCTTCAACAACTCTAACTTCTAAAAGTACTCAAGCAGTCGGAAAACAAAATTACATTAGGAAGCAACTCTAAACTTTTTAAAGTACTCAAGCAGTTAGAGAACAAAACTACAAATAGGAAAGATAATTAAAGGAAAATTGTCTAGCATCATAAAAAGAACCAAGCCCAAGAAAGAACCATGAATAATGGTTCTCATTTTGATTTCTTTCCCTGCTTCTTTTTTATCACTTCATCAATGTACATAATACCTTTGCCCTTGTAAACTTCAGGAGGCTTACAGCTCCTTACAGAAGCAGCAAATTGATGTACCCTATACTTGTCAATCCCAGTGCAGCAAACCACATTGGGTTTGAAACAGAAGACACGAACTGCAGGGGGCACGGTCAGCTCAACCTCATGGCTGTAACCCAGCTTAAGGTACAAGAGACGACCTTCTGATTCTGCCCTAGCCTTGAAACCAACTCCAACAATCTTGAGAAAGCGGAAGAATTTAGCTTCCATTGGATGACTTCTATCAATCAGCTGAAATTGGAGATGACATGACAAAAGCCACATCAGTAGGCCAAACAAGAAAAAGACCTTGACAATAATACAACCGGAACATGCCAAATAAGAAAAAGAACTAGACAATAATACAACAGCAGCAAATTTCAGTTTAAAAAAATAATACAACAGCAACATTCTTTTTCCACTATGGGAGACGAACTTGCCAAGTATTAATTCTAGAATTAGGACATCTAACATAATGGTTTGTGACTAATACTCGGGAAAAACACCTACAACAGTTGAGTAGGAAATGCAATGCCACTTTGTGACTGAAAATTTGATTAGTCTCTAGGCTACAAAAAGGAAAACTGCTCAAGGAAGGGAAGACAACTAAAGTGATTTTCCTTTTTTTTTTCTTTTTGATAATCATGGTGTCCACTCGACTGATTCCACGGGATACATGTTACCTACCACCAGCAACAGGTACTAGTAACTATGTCACAAAGGCTAGAACATATGGGAAAAAACCACATAGTTTTTTTGTCTCTGCTGGGCTAGTATTTGAACCTGAGACCTCGTGGTGCTTAACCCACTTCATTGACCACTAGGCTGTCCCTTGGGTGTACAAAGTGATTTTCCTTTTTGATCCAAAGAAGGGGGAAGATTTTGTTTTTAAGGAAATAAATGACAAATACAGATTATCAACTAATAAAATCAATTCAGACAGTTTGTTTTCACATTCTGAATCAGTTTGTCTAAGCACTTTTATTTCACATTCTGAATCAGTTTGTCTAAGCACTTTTACACTCTTCTTCAGCATAATTTTTCTGTCAGTAGCTCCAGGAACTAATTTCAGTTTTCCTTATCTGATGGAGAGATGGCAGAAGAAGAACCACAGGAACTGGCCAACAAGAACAACAACTTACATAGTGTAATTCACAAGTGGTATCTGGCCTGGGGAGGGTAGGGTGTATGCCCTTACCCCTACCTTGGGAGGTAGAAAGGTTGTTTCCGATAGACCCTAGACTCAAACCGAGCATATTGCATTATTCCTTTCACTGGCAACATATGCTCCTTAAGAATTTGTTAAATGTCAATTTTTAGCAAGAAAATCAATTCAAATTTCATTAGTACCAACAGGTGAAGCAGATCTTTCAGTTCTACTTCTAAATGAAAAGAACTGGACCACTTTTAAAATGACCCTGATATAATCTTAGAAAATTGGCTGATGACTAATTTTAAAATAAGATGAACAATTAAAGCATGTGCATATAACCAACCTATTGTTATGCCTTGTTGTACTCTAGCAGGAGCATGTCCTCCATATGGTCTTCCATAGAAACTGTATCCATGTTTTTATTCTTTATTAACATGGAATAGCATGTACCCTTCGGGGTGGCTAGTGGTTTGGGCTTGGGACTTCCATGTTGGAGGTCTCAAGTTCGAAACCCCTTGCTAGCGAAAGCAAGGGGTTTGCCTTCTGGGTCGAGCTCGTTGCACCGGGATTGCCTAGTGCGGGTTACCTCTCCTATGTGGTTTGCGAGCTATTGCATAGGAGCGGGGGTTTTACCCTGTGCGCACCCAAAGGATAGCGGCTGCGGGTTTCCCTTGACATAAAAAAAAAAAAAAAACATGGAATAGCATGTCAACTTGCTCGATTTCTCACCTATTGATTAATCAAATAATTTCGACATCATTCGTTGAGTTTCACAAGCAGGCAGTTAATTTACAATCTCTGATCATTAGATTTTAGGTAGTTCGCACTTCAGGGGAAATGGGGACAAGCAGGGGTTTCTTCCGATGTAGATATGTAATATAATGAAGGGTAAAAGGGTAAAATTAACTCCTACAATTAGATATATGACCAATTAAAAAAGCTCAAATGATGAGCAACAACAACCATTCCTAAACCTTCTCAAGATGCAAAGACTAGCTAATTAGGAAAATGAAAACCAAAATCGAAAAGGAAAAAGAAAGGTTTAAGTGCTCTAAGAGGAATTGGTTGTTGATCTTCAAGTATTACAGATTATGCCGATTCTCAATCTGCATTTTGGGTTTCACAAACTTGTTTAAGTCAGCAGAAATAACATTTACCAAACCCCCAGGAGAAGTCATGAGTTCAGCTAAATTGCCAATGAGTGGAGCAGGGACTTATTCGACCACTACGAATAGAGTGTTATACCATACTCTCACTTCAGAAGCGTAACATTCAAATAAATTCATTAAGGGATTTCTTCGACCAGCTTGAAGGCATGATAATCTCCTGAGACGTAACTATTATTATCACTCACCAAAACAGTCAGTAACTGTCAACTGAAAACTACAAAATCCAAATTATATAGGCCATAAAACTAGAAAAGAAGCCTAGTGAGGATTGACTTTTCATGGCGGAAATAACAATCTCATTTCAGAAACATCACATTAAAATACATTCATAGAGGAATTTCATCGAACACCTCATATGTATGACAATTTTCAGATATTAATTAAAGACAAAACCTAAGCAAATAACGAGCAATTCATTTCGAAGAGAAAAAGGAGAAACTAGTAAGAATAAGAATAACAGAATACCAGGCTTTCTCTGAATCGCTACCTCAGCAAACCTAAAATCCACCGGAGATCCGCAGTTCACCGGTCAGTGGAGCGTTCCGAGGGCTCTTTCCGTCAACACAAGAAATTAAAGAAGTTGGGCCTATAACTGCTTCTTGAAAGAGAAGGATACTATGAGACCAAAAGCCCACTTAGAAAATAATAGCGTAATCCTTTCATTTATTTTTCCTTTTTAGTCCTTTCAAAAACGAATATGTTTTTTTTTTAATGATAATTTTTTTCCTTTTTTTTTTTTAGTTTTTAACATGACATTTATATCAAATCAAAATACGATAAACAAATTAAAATGAAAGGAATAGTATTTATTGCTACGGAATCCCAAAAAAAAAACTCACAAAAAAGTTTCAAAGTATTTTATTTTAGTAACTAGGTAAATTACCCATGTTTCGCATGGGATTGAACCATTTTATTTAGTTTACATATGATCATTCCATAATATTCATATTTTTGATACATACACTGCATTGTCAAGAACATTTTATCTTAAGGCAAAGCGTTTCTCCGAAATCTTAAAGTGCTATATTTTTTTAATTTCTGTTTTTGTTATAAAAAAAATTACGAGTTTCTGCCTTTGCACTCGAGGGCCAATCTCCGCATAGAGAGATTTAAGTATAAGAAAGAAGTCTAAGAAAATCTCCATAGAAATAGTTGGTCAGAAGTAATTGCTAAATTCCAAAAAGTTATAAAGAACAACATCAGACGTTGAAGAAGAGGCCAAAAAGTCTCGAACAACAACACTCCCAAGTAAAGTGGACATCATGTCCATACAAGAACATAATTAACTAAAATCAAATGGAAGACCTTCAACTCCTTTCTTATGAACCTCCATCAATCTGTTTTTATTATAGTATGACGTATCATGTATATGTTAAAAATGACCCTAAAATTGTTAGTATCATAAATGTTTTTCCTCATTGTCTCAGAGTAGTCATTACTATTGCTTAGGTTTCATATCACCAGCCCCAACTTATTTGGAATTGAACCATAGTTATTGTTATGGTTATAGTATGCAGTTACAAAGAATTAATGCAATTATCAACCAAGCAGTAGTTGACATCTGAATGGAACTGTTCACAACTCGATATTCTAAACCAAAATTTTGACACATAACATATTAAAATCTCACAGCATAATTTTGTGAGCACTTGAACTCACAAATATCCACAAATAATAATAAAGACATCCTTACTTTCCTAACAATCAAGAAGGAAAAGAAATGTTGCTAAACATATTTTTCAAAAAGATAGTTTATCGGGTTGTATCCAAGTTTACAGTTCACAAATTTAATTGAAATAATCCAAAAGAAAGAGTTGTCACTTCTTTATAAAAAAAAGCAAAAAACTTTATCAAAATAAAGAGTTATCACTACAGTAAAAATGATCTTTAACGGTAATTAATAGCTTAACTGTCGCTAAATATGTATTTTCACAAGCAATTGGTACTTTCTATAAATGTCCCTAAAGTTTATAACAACATTGAATCTAATGACAATTAATTAATATTGGTAAATGTTCAAGCACTCTTCGTTAATGTGCATATTTATTGCCTATAAAAATTATTTTTGTTATAGTGTATTTTGGACATTTGTTTGTTTCAAGAAAACTTGGTCTCTTATTATACCCAAAAAGAAGAGATGAAGAAATATGACAAATTACTTAACTTGCGACAAAAGAAGTGGACTAATTGTCTCTATTCTAATATTCTAGGAAGAGTACAATGACATACGAATTGTTTGTACATAAGAAAAATCAATCAAAATAATATACTAACTGTGGCAAGCAAGAGAGCAATCTGTTTGGTTCTTTTAACAAACTTCATCATTGGTTCCGTATTAGTTATCACATATTTGTTGTTGTGTGCTATCAAATATAGCACAACCCACAAGCAATTTTCCAAAAAGTATATGAAAAAACCTCTAGAAAGGGACAAAAGAGAAGATAAATTTTCAATCATCCTCACTGAAATTTTTAACAGAGTTAAAAAAAAGTCACCAAAATAGCAATTAGAAATTGCAATAGATACATGATCACTATGACTTACAGTAAAATATTAAACTTCATGAAATATGAGGAAGAAAACTTTGAGGAATGAAACACATTTCATAAGTAGTTTAATTAATGGATTTGAATTTGACTCCCCTATAGCAAAAAAAAAAAACGTACAAATAATAGTGGCAGAAATAAAAATTTTGTTTACTAAAGAACCAAATGTAATGAATTTAACCATTTCAACAGTGTTATGAATTGTGGAATGAGAGGTGCACGAGTAGTAATGTCGCATTACAATCAAAATCAATCTTCTTTGTTTATACGAAGAAACCTGTAAAAAGGAACAAAAGAGAAGATCAATTTTCAATCATCTGTGCTGAAATTTTTAACAGAGTAAAAGAAAAGTCACCAAAATAGCAAAATTTTTTTTGTCATAATTACATGAATCACTATGACTTATAGTAAAGATTAAACTCCATGAAATAGGAGGAAGAAAACTTTGCGGAATGAAACAAACTTCATAAGAAACTTAATTAATGTATTTGAATTCGACTACCCTACAGCAAAAAAACACCTACAAATAATAGTGGTAGGAAATCCCTCTATTTATAGAAAGCAAAGGGTAGTGTGAACAAATGCTTATTGTGCCTTATCGGAAAGGTCACAACTCTTTGGAAAAGTTACAACCCTTTGGAAAGGTCAGAACATTTAATGAAAGTAACAATTTTTCATAAAAGTCGCAACTCTTCATAAAAGTCACAAGTGTTCATAGAAGTTACAAATTTTGATATAAAAGTCGTCACTCTTCATAAAAGTCACAACTTTTCATGAAAAAGGGAAGGTTAATTATGGAAATAAATAAATTAAAAGGGAATTATGGTTTGTGGTGGCGCCACATAGGCGGGATTAGGGTTCTCTTTTATATATATATATATATATATATATATATATGATTTAGAGGCTTACCTCTAGGTTTCACTCAAGGATCTCTCTTGTGGTTTATGGTATTATGTCTATCTTTTTTTCTTTTTTTTATTCTATATGATTTGACATATTTGCCCTTCTTAATATCATAGTTAGCTTCTTCAACTAATGAACATTATTAAAATGACTCATTTAACCCCATTCAATGTCAATAACATATCCCGTGTAATCTTATAAGTGAGATATGTGAAGGATAGAGTGTACACTCCTACCTTGTGAAGATAGAAGTTGTTTTTGAAAAATACTCTAATTGAGTACGATAAAATAACTTATTTAATAAATACATTAAAATAAGAAACAAAAAGGAAGTTGAAAAAAGTTTCCCTCTTTCTTTTAATTAGAAATTTTACCATATAAAAATTCGTCTATAAAAGAAAAATATTTCATTCTATAAGTGAACTAGAGTCTTTTTTCACTTTGATGGAGAATAATTTTCTTGGAGGAAATATATTTCGAAATTCAAGATTAGCAGACACTGAAAACAATTTCATCAGGAAAACTTTTGCGATACCGAACACAAGCTTACATTCCGTACAAAGAGAAGCATCTCTCATAAAAAATGTTTTCTTGTGCAGAATATTTACCTTATTGAATCAATTTCCAAGTTGTATGAGTATCAAATCGTTCTTGATCACGATGTTTACATCAAATCAAATAATTCAACAGTGATATTTGAAAGAAGAGTGTCTTTCAGCTATTTCCTTTCGGCATGTTTCAAATGTTCACTTCAGAAAGACAAGTTTATAAACTCAAAAATCTAGTGAGAGTAATCAACTACATTTCAGGAGAGGTTAATGAAAGGATATTCATTTGTGGAATTCCAGCAGCTAGAGTGTTTCTTCGATAAGTTTTTCAGTGAGACTTCTTGGGAGTCCCATGACACTGTCAGCAGTTCCAATCTGCAAAGTATTGGGAAGTAACAGTATAAAGAACAGGTCAGTAATCGGCAGTTCCAAGCTGCAAAGAGAAAGGGAGAGAGAGAGAGAGACGAACCAGAGTGTCAACGAAGGGCAACGTCAATGGATGCTCAAGCATTAAGCCACCAGCAACATTAAGTATTATTCCCTCCTCAATCTATACAATTGCACTAATAGTTAATGTTGCAGGTAAAGAACATCCCCTATTTAAGGACACTGTCAAAATTTACCAGGCTGTCAATGATCTCATCAGGTATGTCATGGAAATATACCTGCAATTAGGCAGAAGAACAGTATACTCCCATGTTAAACAATCACAGTTCTGTAATTGTGTAATACTCCATATTACACAATTGCACTAATAGTTAAGTCAGCAAGAAGGTTTCCGAGAAAAATCATGTTGCACCACACCTTCAAGAAAGAGCAAATTCATAACAGTAACAAAAGGAGGGCTTGTAGAAGATCAAACTAGCTAACTAATAAGCCGAGAGCTGTGAGGCGATTGTATTGGTGTTCCAATAAGCAGATAAAAAAGGGAAGCATTCTAGACATCCTTACAAACTGGAAAGGTCAAGTCTTGGGGAACGAATTCATGGGTGGAGACTGGAGAGAGCAATGTTGATGGGCTGTAATAAACCAGATTCCATCTACATTCACCCTCTATCTGCCCTTCACATAAAGCTGTAATACACCAGTTTTCATCAACATTCACTCTTTCCTGCCTTCATAGTCTGAAACAAAAGATTTCTGCACTCCTAGTTTGACAGTGGTTGAGCAGTACAACTGTAACAACAACCATTCTGATCATACTTGACAGCATTAAGATGGTTCAAAGATCCTGATGGTGAGGTGATAGCAGATACAATTCTCTATGCCAAGGCCTAGCAGAGATGAAAATTTAGAAACCTAGGCAATTTTCAAAAGGTACTACCTTATTAGAGGCCTGGGATTGTAAATGCTCATGCGTGCTAAATAGAAATCAATCTATTCATAGTCTCTCTCCATTATTGACTCAACTTGTGCCTGTCTGTTTATATAGGTAGATAAGTCAAGGTTTAGGTCTCTTTCCACTCATAGACTGATGTACGAGCTCCTACTCAACATACAGTTTCCAGCTGGGAAAACTGCTATTTGAACTAGCTATAAGCCTACAATAGTCACATCAATTACTGGTAATTTGCAGGCTCCAATATTATACCAGAGACCCAGTAATTCATGTATTCTAATGATCCCAACATTCAAAGACCTAGCAGTAAATTTCAAGGATGAAATTGATGTCACAATTCACAAAATAGAAACTGCAAAGGAATTGCTCCGCAAGAACTCCACTTGTAAACTATGGTTGTTTATATTGGCATAAGGGAACTTGGTAAAATCAGGCAATTGATATCTTCCTTGCTGCAGTCTAGTTTATCAAAGAATGTACGGTCTCTTTATTTAAAGTCTCATGCACGGTGGATATAACTACAAAATAATCCTTCTAGTTTCTAGAAAAAAAATCATTTGTACGGATGGGGATCAAATAAACTCAAAGTCACAGGCTGGGATAAGCATATACTTATTCAAATATCTATAATTAGATACCTGACATATCTTCGAAATGTCACATCACCTTAATCCTCACTACCACATCACATACACTTATGCATCAGATGCAGTTAAGCCTATGTCACCATTGGAACATATCAACTTAAGCAAGAATGTACGATATAAATGCATAGTTGTATTTCAATAGTCTCCAGCATGTAGGAATTACTTCACATGGAGTAAAAGATATACCTCTGACCTTTCCCAAGCTCCTTTTCTTATACCCTTTGTAAGGTTGGTCACAACGACAGATCCTACAACCGTGGCTTGACCACCAGAATAACCTGCAATTCATAATAACAAGAACAGTAATATTGGTAGAAAATAAAAAGAATAACCTGCTTAGCTGAGATACTGGAGGGAACTGCAGACCGCAAATACAAACATACATTTGATGAACTGACGCGCTTCTTCCTTACTTGATGGCTTTTCTCTAATAATTCCATCGTACACAGCCACCTTGATACCAATAGATGTAGGTAAGATATAGCCAAGAAGATCTATTCTTCATCCAAGAGAAAAATCATTAGAAGGCTCAAGTATTCTAATTTTTGCAATATGCTATTTAACAGTGATATTAAATTAAGATTGTCAAATCATGGAGCAGGAACATCAAATTTCAAATGAATCCAGAGAGCAAAATAAAAGACTAGAAATGAGCTAACGACACAATAAGTGTCAATCTAAAATGTCAATACAAGGTAGGCCAGCTGCTTGCATAAAAGAACTAACATCAAGCTAATTCCAACACTTTATCAGACTTCTCTATGCAAAGTTACTAGCTAAAATTTTGTACTGCTGTTTTTTAGTTATTGCTAAGTGTGCCTGTATCACCAACTAGTTTTGCAATAAATGATAAACAAAGCATTAAATGGTTTCTGATAAGCTCTCAATTCAATCAGAGAAATAACTGTGAATATGGGCTTAGTATTAAACTAAACAAGGCTATAACACTTGAAATATTCTAACGGGGAGAAGTAAACATACTGTATCTGCAGTAATTAACAGAGTGGAATGGGTATTTTCCTCCAAATGATCAGTTGTTTTGAGCCTTGACATGATAGCATCTGCCTAAGAAGAACAGAACCAGTAAGTAAACATAAGATTTGCTCTTAAAGCACTGGAACATGATATCACTGTATTACATGTTACTCCCTCCGTCTTAATTTATACGGCACAACTAGAGTGTCATGGGAATGGAAGGAAACCAAGTGAGTTGATTATAGTGAGACAAACTATTCAGGATCAGTCCATTATCAGCAGAAGAGAAGTACCCATTTATAGATAGTCCATAACCATCAAATGGAAATTTCATAACATAAATCACTGATGGGCAGAATGATTGAAAGTTAGTTGGGACACAAAAGATGCCAAGGGAACGCTGAATAATAAATCTCATCCAATCACAAGAATCTTGGATTTTGACCTTCTTATTGATATCATGTTCTACACAATTATCAACAGAACTCCTCAGATAACTGCACTAAAATTACTCCTGGCCTTTATACTTTTATAGGGTGATTTGTGTTACTTAGAAGAATAACATCCTGCCAGATACACTACAAAGATCTTTGTTTCATGTTACTTGGATAAAATAAATTTGATTGAAGTTTCAAACCTAATTCTAGCAATACTGGTTTTGGCGAACTTCTACCAATTACGTAGTGAAATTAATTCTGAAGACAAGAAAAATGTCATCAGGAAGACAGCAGATAACAAGCATTTTTCCTAGACTCAAATGCAAGAGTTGAAAGCCGTCAATACATTATTTTCTTGGAAAAGGATTTCCTAGAAAACATTTTCTCAGAAAACAAGCGGATTTCTTACTTATTTTCTAGTTTGGTAAGTAATCAAAACTATGGGGTTAATATGGGGGTGTGGTGGGAGGAGACAATAAACTTGAAATGTCAGTTTTGAAATTTGTTCCCTTTGAAAGTCGTTTTTTCTAGAAAAGATGTCATATATGAGAATATTTTCTCGTTCTCCGTACCAAACACACCCGTAATGGAGAAGAGGTAGTATACCTTTGCCTCTGCTAGAGCTACCACTAATTCCTCTGCATTATCCTTCCTAATCCTCTTTTCATCAATGTCAGCACCCTACTCCACAAAACAATTTAAATATAAGTCGAAATCGACTCTTAAAAGAAAACTAAGAGTCTTAAGACCAGGTCCAAAACCTAACCTGACCAGAAAAAGCGAGTTTTAGCAAAATACAGAATCTTTTAAAACAAAATTGAACGTACCATAACTGTAAATTCATAACCCATGTCCGCTAGAATTTTGCGACGTGCCATTGAGGACGAACCCAAGATTATCTTTAAACATATGGAACCATTAGTAATTTACAGTATATTAAAGAATGTAGAAAAGAAAACATTAACTTTCAAGAAGAGAGCATTGTGGGTTAATCCTCAAAAGAAAGATTTGAGATAAACGAGTACAGTTCATCAGTGGGTGAAAAAGCAAACCTTGAACGACAAGTTCTTCGGAGCCATTTGTTTGGCGCTCTCTTTCTCACCTCTTCTTGAAAGGGCAACGGTTAGCTTTGGAGATAAGCAACCGAAGATTTTATTAAGGGTAAGAAAACGAGTGGTTTTTATAAGGCGAATAAAAGAAAATGATTGGCCGGAACGGCTAAAAGCAATTTATTTGTATATTTTTCTTTTTAATCTATTTTAAAATTATATATTTATTTTTTTTAAAAGAATTTTTTTAAATCATACTGCATGTTTAAAATCATAAAATTAAAATATATTTTGACACTTAATATTAATATATTTTAATTTTAAATTATAATTTTTTTTTAACTCTGTATTAAATGAAAATAGAACAAATAAATTGAAATTAAAGGGAATAATTCCTTTTGAGAAGGTTGGTGTATTGTAATATAAAACCTTGCATTTTAGTTTGTTCTTCGATTTAAGTTTTCTGAATATAATAATGCGTACTTGAAATTGCTTTTGACATAAAATGTTTTGGGCATTTTTTTTTTGGAAAAGTTAGTGTTTTTGGGTTTTCAAAAATTTGGTCAAACATACTATAATTCTAGTTAAAAATAATTTGGAAGCGGACTTTATGATGTTTCGTTTCCTCGGAAGATATCATTTGCAATACGGCCTAACCCAGCAGTATGAATGGTATACTACAATGAATGCCAACATTTTTACCCCACCACATTTTAGATGACCCCATTGATTAATATATAAATTTTTCACCTTGCGATTATTATTTAATTGTCACGCATGACCAAAAAAAAAAAGTGGAAGTGAAGATCGATATCTAAGTCATATTCAAGAAAAGAATCAAATATGTTGAATTCATAATCCAGTGAGATGGGAAAATTGATAATGATATTTCTCATATCAGAGTGAAGTGGTTGAAATGGAGGTTCACATTCAAGATACTGTGCAATAAGAATGTGTCGTCAAGACTTAGAAAGTAAATTTTATAAAGTAATGATCAGATCGATATTATTATATGAAGCAAAGTTTGCCAATTAAAAACACCCACATTCAAAAGACAAATGTAGTCAAAATGAGGATGATCAAATAGATATGTTGGGAAACTAGAAGAGATATGATTAGAAATAAAATAATACGAGACAAGGTGGGAGTTACCCACATGAAGACAAAAGAATGAGATGATACAGGCACATGAAGAGGAGGTAAATGGATGTGCCGGTAAAAAAGTAGGAGAGATCGGTTATAATAGGAGTTTACGAAAGGTAGACCAAAAAAGTATAGGAGGAAGAGGATTAGATAAGACACATGCATAACTTCAGCTTACTGAAGACATATCCCAGATAGAATGCGATATAGATCGAAAATTAATTAAAAAGATTAGTAGCTACTTGAGTGTTGTCGCACTTTATATAAGAGAGACAGGAAATAGCTCTTCTACACTTCTCCTTATCAATTGTACTATTATTTGTCATATTGTCGTATTATCATGCCTCAAATTCTTTTCTTCTTTCGAGTAGATAGTCTACCTCACAAAAGTTAAAAAAGAAAAAAATTACATACATCCTACACTTTTCAAATGGTATTACACTAATTATGTTGACTATATGCGATAAGTGACTCAAAATTTCACGCACTTCCACTAAAAATTATAATTATTGGCATATGTCCGCTGTTCAAACAAGAGACTAATTAAAATTAGTCAATTTTTGTGGCAGAATAAGATGAGAAAGTATTTATAAAGAAAAGATTTGACAATGCACAAATTTCACAATACACTGTATAATTATTGTAGACTTTCTGCACTTGCTTAGCTTGCAGATGATGCAACAGTCACTGGCCAGGCATGACCTTTGCTTTAGAGTATCCATCATCATTAGTATGAGATGTCACCTCGTCAAACCCCAAAATTTAGCAGTCTTGACATCTTCTTGAGCCATCAATTTGGAAAATTCTTCATGATCGTAATTCAATGTGGCTTTCCCCCCAAACTCACTTGGAAGATTCTCAGTATCGAAAAAAGTCTTCATCAACTCCACGCTATCTTTGTTATTCGGATACACAAACTTGATCTTCTCAAATGTTTTCGAATCAATAAAATATTTCACTACCTACACAAGAATGATTGAACAAATTGTTATCGACCAAGTTCAAAAAAGGATCCTCCGGTAGGAAAGAACCTTACCTTCCAAAATGCCTCGAATAATCTAGGTGGACTATAAAGAACAACTATTGCAAGCCTCTCTGGATAGTGATTCTGCAAAATGTAGATAATATCTCTTGCAGTTTTAATGGGAATGTTGGTGTTTAATGACCATCCATTGAAGTCTATCAACCAAGACATTTGTTCTTGGCCTTCTGGCAGGTTAAGGATAGCATTCTCCATCAGATAGACTAGCTGACGAATATTACCTTCCGGAGATGATGTGTTCTGTCAATTGTCATCCATGAAACAGAACAGTTTGGATACTGTGTTAACCTGATGTATATGGATTGGATTTTAATTCGAAAGGGAATATATCATGACTAACCTGTTTCCCAGGCCTCATTATAAGTACAGTCCTGCCTAGTCGGTCACGAAAATTGGCCTTAAAAACCTTGCCAGTTTCACTTTCATGTGCCACTTCATGCTGTGATATATTGCGAGATCATAGATTTAGAATCATCGAGCTTCCAACATTATACCAACTAACATATATAGATATATAAAGTTGCTCTAGTAACATTTGTGCAGACCAACTGTGATCTCTAAGCTGCAGTATGATTTGCCCTAATGATAAATCAACATTATGATGTGTTTATTCTACAACGAAGATGGAAAGTATTGACTTGCTTGAATTAGAAAACACTTTCATAGTTTTTATGCAAATACATCATTATCCCAATTCTTTTAGATGGATAATTCTGACCTTGCATAGTTCAGATGACAAAGTTGAGAGTACAAAGTGTGTGAGAATATAGATGGAAAAGGTCAAAGAACAATCACCCAACGAATTTCTTCAGGCTTGTAGTTGGATCTCCACTTGAGAGTCTCTTCGAGCATTTTCTTTGCCTTGTCAAGGTTCCAATTTCGAGCTTCTAAGTATCGCCTCAGACACACATCAGTACAGAGCTTTAAGCTTCTCCCAGATAGAGGTCCAAGAGCCACTCTTAACTCGCTAACCTGGTTTGCCATAGAAAATTAGGCCCCGTTCTATAGTTTTAACTACCAGTTATTGCTGAGTTCAATAGTCCTGACAATTCAGTTTGAGTAGAGAACATTTTCCCAGTGGTCAATCTAGTTATTATTAAACATCAAATGGATTTTTTAGGGATAATTGAGGCAGTTACTTAGTCAGCGTGGATTTGATGAAGCAAACCAGACTACATATTTTGTGAGAATAAAACTTGATCAAACTCTGTTACCTTTGCATCGCGGCTTGCAGAATCATCAGCCTGATTCGTGTGAGACGACTTTCTCCGGAACATGGTTCCTGTTGATTGAGAAAATGGTGCTAATAATTATATATATATATATGTAACTCTGCTTCATCACTAAGACAAACACACATCGTAAATTTAGGGATTCCGGTAAGATAAGCTGGATTAGGGCAATTATGAAAAAGTAGATCAAAAAAAAGGAAAAGAGATGAGAATGACTTTAAGAATGAAATGGTTACCTTTCTTGGAACGGAATTAGGAAGATGGCAGAAAGATTTGGACTTGAAAGCTATCTCTCTACATGAACACAATAGCAATTGATTCTTGTAGAAAAATAGAAAATGTAGACAACACCACTCGAAGTTGTAGAGAAATCACGCAAAGTAGGTGATCATTCACTTTAACAGTTGAAAAGAGGGAACAGACGGAAAATGGAATTTTCACACGCTTGTAGTCTTCTTTTTTGGACACTGTAATGTAATAATACCCAACTATGTTACTATTCAAAGCAAATATGTACAAATTTGGTTGATACATAACAAACACACTGACGGTAATAACAAACTGCTGACCAACAACTTGGAGTATTCAACAAAATTCAATTATTTTTTCTATTACCTGCCTTGTAGGGTTGGTTCAAATAGCTCCCCATGCTATTGGTAGCATTTAAAGACTTCCAGATTTAGGCAATGAATTACCAATTCTTAGGGGTTTCAAGTGATTGGTGTAAGATTTCCCCTCTTCTCCTTCAACTACAGTCGAAATATTATGGTGTTTCATTCGTTAGTCAACACAAGACCATAACCCAGGTAACTCCAAAGAAGTTCCTCTTTAAAGAAACAATACAGCCACGGATCAACATAAAATTATTGTGCCAATGTCAATAAAAGATAACTAACACAATAATGCTGTCAATTAAGACGAATCCTTATTAGTATATCATCTGCCGAAGACTACAAATCAAGTTTTAATACACGGACACTAGAAGAACAAACAAGTTTGTTCCGGCTTATACGCAGAAAATACACGAAGCTTGCACTAACATATGAGATTTTAAATTTACAATTGGCAAGTAACACCTTTATAGAAATGATACATGGTTACCCGTACTCCTTTGACTTCCCTTTAAGCTATTGTTGATCACCTCTAGTATTTCAAAATTTCTGAACACAACAAGGTCCCGAATAAACGCCTCATCCACTCCCTGAATGGCCGATGATCTTTCTCCTCTCTACAATCTTTACACAATCTAGTAGTCATTGTTGGATAGGCACTTACAATTGGTAGTACTACTACTGTATGGCCTTGAGTCTTTGATGGTAGATCAATGATCTGTTCGTACTTCTCCAGATCGACTGTCTTCCCATCCATCTTTGTAGAGGAGGAAAGTACAAAATACTGCGTTATACTAGGTCAATATCTCCTTCACAAGTCAACATCTCAGCAAGCAGTTCCACAATCTTCCACAAAGGTTCCTTAGATGTTGGCTCTCATAATTATCTGTTGAATTTCGGCAACTACATTACATGGCAGGCCTACCTGGAAGTGTTTTCTCATTACCTTGTGTTGGCGACTTGGAGCTGTCCATCTCAGCTACTGAAATAATTTCTGTGATAACCAGAGTGCCTTGCTCGGAAGTACATGAGATTCTGTTTTCATAAACTCACAACTTATTGAACTGAATTGCCATTTTGTTTGGAGTACCCTTATCTCTC